TATTTGAACAAGCGGTCAGTCAAGAGACCACTCAGGCTTATCAACACAAATACATATATACAATTCAATAAATAAAATTGTTGGCATAACATAAATAAATTACAAATGTTTAAATGTTTCAAACACAAAAAATCTGTTAAAATAAATATGATAAAGTACAAATGAAAATATAGCCTTTATAAACTTTTGCATGGTAGAAACAGAAGCTGCTCTTCATATTAGTGACAAACAGTAACTACAGCTTTTTGACAAGTTTAAAGTTTCTTTAAAATACATTAAAATATTAAAAAATAAACTACGAAAAATAATTTGATAAAGTGCAAATTGAAATATAGTTGTATCTGCAGCTGTATTTGATAATGTTTTGAACTTTTAAAATATTGCATGAAAGAACCAGAAGCTGTACTTCATATTAGTGACAAACTTTGGTGTTTTTGACAGGTTACCTTCATTTTTGCTTCTATTTTTCATTTAAAATAAGTTTCCATTTTCAGCAGGTATGTAAGGTTCTTCTACATATTAAAAAGTTGGTAAATAACTGAGTGGCACACTACTTCTAGTGGTGAGAAAGTGTATTGCACCTTATTCAAAATCAATGCGGTCCCGCGGCCCTCTGCGGCCCAAAGTTAAAAACTGTTGTTCTTTTGAGGCCCTCAAGGTGGAGCTCACGGCCCACAATTGGGCCGCGGCCCATATACAAGTACTGATAGAGATTTTTTATACTTTATCATTTTTGTATTGATCATTGCATTAATAAATTGTATACAGGTTCTTTGAGTGTGTAAACACACTCCTAATGAATGAAGCTTTGTTTTACTCTGCTGCATGCCTGACAAGCAGGCCTGCCATAAATTTCAGCCTCTGCTGCTCTGCTGATAAGAAACAGTTTCCTGTGATGTGATTGGTCAAGATGTGTTTTCTCTGTGCTTTGCCTGCTCAATAAAGAAACAGCTTCCCAAGCAGAGCTCAGAGCTTTCTCGAGATACCTGGCTGCCGATAAGTTCAGTGTCTTCTGAAATCTCTCACTTTGCAAAGGTAAACTGATGTATACTCATGTCTGTCTGGTTTTATTTCTTTAAGGTGTAATTATTTTCACCCCAACAGTACATTTACTTTGCTACAGTACTTAAGTAATTTTTTGAGGATCTTTAATTTTAACAAGTATTTCTTAACCATAACTTTTACTTTTATTTAGTTATATTCAAAATGTAAAATACTTTGCTTCCTCAGTTTAAAATTTAAAATCTTGCTATAGGAGTTGGGCTAGTGGAACCAATTGACATAACGTAAATTAAACACTTCATGTGTGAAAAAAATATTTTAACTTTCCTAGTTATTTGGGAGCAGTTTTATGACTTTTACTCAGTGCTGGCTCTAGCCAGTTTGGTGCACTAGGCAAGTTGAAGCGCAACACCCCCCCCCCCCCAACTATGTCCCACCCAGCCCAATTTGAACCCCTAAAATCAGAGCCTGTAGATGACTTAAAAAACAATAAATTACATTAAACAGCCATCTTCCAAACTGTTCTGCCGCTAGAAATAAGTTTTGAACTGTTTCCGCTCTCCTTTCCTCCTGCTTCGCAGCGGGCGCTTTTACGTCCTCAGCGAGGCTGACAACCCCACCCTCCTACCCCCGCGGGTGCGAGTTGTATTGATTTTTTGCAAAATTTACAGATTTTTGAGGCTTTTTATACAGGTAAACATCCGAAGAGGTTGACATGTATGGAACAACAAAATCCAGTCTTGTTATTATTGAGTTTGTCAACATGAACCGCTACCTGAAAGGCACAACTAGCCCCTCCCCCATCAGACTGTTGGAGCAGGATGAGTCAATACAACATCAATCAAATGAGAGAGGGTGGGGTGATTGTTGCATTTGGGGGGGGAGGGGTGTTTTATGTGTAGTTTATTTTTCCTGTAATACTTCAATATAGTTTTTTTAAGACAAAGCTAATTGAAAGGGGTACTTAGCTGAGTTGCAACCAGGGATTACAAATAATTACTTATTTTTTCTTCTGCAGTTCGGCGCCCCCTCCAGCAGATGGTGCTCTAGGCGACCGCCTAGTTCGCCTATGCCAAGAGCCGGCTCTGCTTTTACTTGTGTTTTGTTATCAGTGAAACTCATTTTTACCACAGTAATTTACTGTTAATGTATCTTTACCTTTTCTTGGGGGTTTTTTCACACACCTTTGCTTAAAATATAAAGTTTTTATTTTCTTTACAAGATGATGTCATCAGCTACAGGAGATAAGTCAGATTGTACTAAAAGGAAATCTAAAATTCAAATAGATTGGTCTTACATAGTCTGGTGTCATTGTTAGCCTTTAGCAGAATAATGAAACAATAGATGGATTTTAATGAAACTTTCAGGAACTATTCAATGGATGCACCTCTACAACTAACAGTCAATAAAATTCAAGATGTCAGCCACATCCAATAACATTGCCAACACAAAATATGACTAACTCAGGCAGTTTTATAAAAATCCAAGTACAGTTTGATGTGGCAGTAGCTGATCATGCAGCTCCGTTGAGATGATCTAAGTCTAAAACTCTAGAATGAAAACTCGGCGGGCGATATGCATTCACTCAACGCACAGAGGCCTTTAATTGTGTTTGGATTGACGTCTACAGCAGTTTGCTTGCGTCATCGCTTTCTGTGACAGACAGGCACGAGAAAGCCATCAGCTGATGCTTCACCGTCTCAGCACCACGGACAGCTTCTTTCTGCAGACCCGGGCACATGAAGTCGGGTATAAAAGCCCCACGCGCACCTTTCCTGCCTCACCAGAGATCCGGACATAATCCCAAACCATGCTGAGACGGTCCGAGCTGGATGCAGAGATGAGGTCGACCAATCAGCCGCTATCCGGGAAGTTGAACGAGAAGGAGGTGATGCGCGGCTTGAACGAGCGCCTAGCGGGTTTCATAGAGAAGGTGCGCGGGCTGGAGCATCACAACCATCTGCTGGAGGTCGAAATCGGGGAGTTTAGAAGGAGAGCGAAACCCGCGTCCTGTTTGGAGCAGGAGTACGGACCAGAGCTCGGCAGGCTCAGGCAGCTGGTCCGGGAGATCACGCACCAGAAGCAACAGCTCGAAATCGAGCACCGCGGCTTGGAGGAAGAGCTCTCCAGCGCGAGAGGGCAGCACGCGCGGGAGACGCAGTCCAGATCGGGCGCGGAGAACAGCATCGTGGTCCTGAAGAAAGACATCAGCGACACGTACCGGGCCAAGCTGCAGCTGGACAGGAAGGCGCAGTCCCTCGTGGACGAAATCGACTTACTAAAGGCGCGCCATGAGGTCGAGGTGTCCGACATGTGTGCCCAGATCCAGGACGCGCAGGAGCTGCACGCCGACGCGCACGGATTTGGGCACCCCGGCGTCACCGCGGCGCTCCGGGACATCAGGACGCAGCTGGGATATCGCACCGCGTCCGACGTCCGGCAGACCGCGGGGGAAAGCTTCCGAGCGCAGTTCGCGCAACTGACGGAGGCGGCTGAGGCCAACAGAGACGCGCTGAAAGCGAGCCAGCAGGAGATCCAGGAGTACCGGAGGCGCCTGCAGGCCAAAAGCGTCGAGCTGGACTGCGCCACGGGGACCAGAGAGGCTCTGGAGAAGCAACTCCATGACGTGGAGGATCGACACAAGGAAGAAATGATTCACTATCAGGTAGGAAGTTATTCTAGGGTTTGCACAGCTTTAATAGAAGCCGTGTCTATCATCTCTCCTTCTTTTGCTCCAGAATACAATCAAGGAGCTTGAAAACGAGCTCATCAACTGTAAGTTTGATATGTCCGGTTACCTCCGGGAGTACCAGGACCTGCTGAATGTGAAGATGGCTTTGGATGTGGAGATTTTGTCCTACAGGTATGACAACATTTAGTCAAGAACAGTTTGTGCTGAAAAAATTCAAATTCTCAGTTTGTATCAGTGAAGGCAAAAGACTTTAAATATGCTTTTCTGATGCCTTTGTTCGGCCTCATGTGGGTTTGTTTAAGAAAAGCAACATTTAAAGCCAGTGCTGGCTGTAGCCAGTTTGGTGCCCTAGGCAAGTTGAAGCGCAACACCCCCCCCACACACACACACACCTCCCGAACTATGTCCCACCCAGCCCAATTTGAACCCCCTAAAATCAGAGCCTGTAGGATGATTTAAAAATACAATAAATAACATTAAACAGCCATCTTCCAACCTGTTCTGCCGGTAGAAATAAGTTTTGAACTTTTTCCGCTCTCCTTTCTCCTGCTTCACAGTGGGCACTTTCACGTCCTCAGCGAGGCTGCCAACCCCCCCCTCCCACCCTCCCCTCCCACCCCGGCGGGTGCGAGTTGTATGGGTTTTTAGCAAAATTTCAAGATTTTTGAGGCTTTTTATACAGGTAAACGTCCGAAGAGGTTGACATGTATGGGACAACAAAATACAGACTTGTTATTGAGTTTGTCAACATGAACCGCTACCTGAGAGGCACTACTAGCCCCTCCCCCGTCAGAGTGTCAGAGCAGGATGAGTCAGTGCAACGTCAATCAAATGAGAGAGGGTGGAGGTGATTGCTGCATTGGGGAGGGGGTGTGTTTAATGGGTAGAGTAGTTTATTTTTCCTGTAATACTTCATTATAGTTTTTTTAAGTCAAAGCTAAATAAAAGGGGCACTGAACAGAGTTATAACCAGGGATTACAAATAATTACTTTTTTCTTCTGCAGTTCGGCGCCCCCTCCAGCAGATGGCGCTCTAGGCAACCGCCTAGTTCGCCTATGCCAAGAGCCTGCTCTGCTTTTACTTGTGTGTTTTCTTATCAGTGAAACTCATTTTTACTCCAGTAATTTACTGTTTAGGTATTTTTACCTTTTCTTGGTATTTTTTTCACACATCTTTGCTTAAAATATAGTTTTTATTTTCTTTACAAGATGATGTCATCAGCTACAGATGGCGCTCTAGGTGACCGCCTAGTTCGCCTATGCCAAGAGCCGGCTCCGTTTAAAGAACATTGGTGTATTAAATTTGCACATTTCATTTTTACATCTTCTCTGAAAAAATAGGAAATTGCGTGAACTGTAAATGAAAACATTCAGTACTATGCAAACCCATACTTTATTCACAATAGTGTCTAGTAGCACGTTTATTAAATTGCTATTAAAAAAGTAGGGTTTTGAATTTCTCAAGTAAATCACAACAAGGCACAGATGGCACAAATAAGAATCATCCAAAAGAGCATTTTGTAACTATAAAATAATAATATTAAAACATCTTATGGAGATAAATTGTAAAGAGGTTCACTAGCCTGCAAAGAAACATCGTTAACTATTTCAGAATAACGTTCCTGGATGGAATTTTTTTTAAAATATATCAACTAATATTATCAAACTATTTCTAGAATATTTAAACCTGTTATCAGTGCACAGTTCAAATGCTGGCCTCTCTGATCATATGGGGGTGCATTGGTGCCTTTGGCATGGGCAGCTTTCAGGCACTTTGAATGCAGAAAACCATTAACATGTATAGGAACAACATATATTTCCATCCTGTTGAACAGCAGGAATAAAACATTGTCCTTCAAAAACTCCAGCATCTTATCTTCCCATTTTTGAGATTTACTAATTGTTTTTAATAGAAGAGGGTATGCTTAAAAGTGGTAAACACGACCCTGTCCCCACTTTTTTCACGTTGTAGAATTCAGTTATCCTAACATAACATTGTTTATTAGCTTAAACATTTGATATGTTTACTATGGTCCGTATGGAAAAAAAAGGGTTTCTGTTTGGATTTACATTTTACACAATGTCCCAAAAAACAGAACGCATTTGTGAGTTTCTTTCCTTCGCAAACATTCTTCTTTCCCTCCTGCAGGAAGCTTCTCTGTGGCGAGGAGGCTCGACTCTCCACAATATCTGACCCCAACGCCTCCCTGCCTCACGTCTCTCACCAGTCCCCCGTTTACAGCCTCCCCTGCTTCAGCCGGCCCGGGGTCCCACGCAGGCGAGCAGAGCCCCAGTACAAGTTTGTCGAAGAGATCATCACAGAGACCACCAGGGAAATCGAGATGTCGGAGTTTGAGGACACGGGATCAGAGGGGACGGAGGCGGGGAAGGATGAGTGTGACCGTAGCAAAAGTGAGAAAGGGCCCGGTGAGGAAGAGAGTGGTCATCAAGACAGTCGAGACGACGAGGGAAATCAGATGTTGGACGGTCAGCAGGTTCAAGTAGTCGGAGAGTGTGAGAAGAAAGAGGATACAATAGATCTAAAGGAGGCTGGTGAGGTGCAGAGTGGTGAGAAAAGTCATGATGGAGACATAAATCAAAGTACTCAGAACAAACTTCCAGCGAGTGAAAGTCTGGATGAAAAGGGAGATGAGAAACACGAAACAGCTGGAAACACTGATGAAACTCAAACTGCAGAGAATATTAAAGGAGATGCCAGGAGAGAGGATGATGAACCTGCAGAGGAAGAATGTTTTACCACAGCTCCAGATAGGGAAACCGAAGACAAAACGTTGGCCAAAGTGCCGGAAAGTTCTGACAACGTTCATCAACCCCGAGATGAGGTCAATCTTTTGGTTTCAGAAACACCTCAGAAAGCCACAGAGGTTTCAACAGAAACACAAAGCAGCCTGTCTAAAGACGTGAGGGAAGTTACAGAAGACACTAAAGCCACTTCTACAATTCTAACAGAGTGAGGCCGACACCGGAAAGGGATAAAGCAGAAACCTCAGTTTAAGATGTCAAACATTAAATAAATAAAGCTCAAGGCAAAAAAAAAAGTGCTACAGAAGCAGAGGCGGAAATAATAAAATAATAATAATAAATAAAATAAAATAACTTTTTGCAATGTAAAAAAAAAAAGGAATTGGAACAGCCAACGTGTTCAAACACTCATCTGATGAGACAAAGATGGGGCGGTGCACGAGCACACACACAAGCCCAACAAAAATGAGGCAGTGCTATGGTTAAGGATGGAGGGTTCTTCTTTAAAATGACAAGCTGGCTGCAGTAAACAAAGGATGCAGCTTAAAATAAGATAAAATAAGAGGGACTATTTATGCAGCTGCAAAACCTCTAGGGAAAGAACTTCTTTCTTTTTTTATGTTTTGCAGCCTCTGGCTTTGGAATCTAAAATCATTGATTCACTGACTATTTTAAGTTGCCAGAAGACTAAAATGACGCCTGCATAAGCAGCACTTTGACTGCTTTGGCATGTGCTATAAATAAATGATATATTTGAAAAAACAATTGTGACTTGTGATTTGTTATGATTCATTTTTGAAATATGCTATACTAAGCATATTTTGAAACATAAAAACTGTTTTGGTCTGCATGTAAAAAAAAAAAAAGCCATAGGTACCCAAAGAGTTATCCATTTTATTATTTACAGGGTCTCCACACCTTGGTCAACATCAAATTCAAGGAACTTTCAAAGACTTTCCAGTACCGATTTCCTCAAATTCAAGAACAACGCGCAACGAGAATTACCTACTGCCACCACAGAATGTTACCAACAGACAGGTTTAATATGTACATTCAATGAAAAACTGAACAACAAAGAAGTTGTTGAGTCAGAATCAATGAAAGAAAGTGGATTAACTGTACATTCATATCCACAATGCATGAACGTGTAATCATGTCCTGGGAGGTTAGGGTTAACCTAACCTAACCGCTCAGTTTGGGAGGAGGGGATGTGAACATGTCCAGATGCTGAGGACAGGAGAAGCTGTGATGCTCTCACCTGGGCTCAGAAAGACGCCCTATTCTGCTCTGATTGGGAAACAGAGGAGACCGGGGACAGTAACAACAAGGGACGGTTGCAATACGTCATTTACAGAAACAAGCTACAGTCATGACTCTCACACTGTACATGCTCAGTTAGATGCCTCACCTTGCAAAGAAAAAGTAAGCAGATTTCAAAACTGCTACAGGATTTATTTGAAAAAAAAAACTGTTTTTGAGGTATCAAAGTATTTTTTTTTTTTGCTCAGCTTTATTTTTATTATATTGTTGTCACTGTTTTTGTGATCCAGCTCAAACTTACATGGTTTAAACAAGTGATATGTTGACTTTTAACTAATACAGTTAACATGTATCCAGATGAGCTTATTTAGCTAACACCTGAGGTTTTATCATGGCTGACAGGAAGTCATGGCTGCAACTGACCCCATAAGATAAATCTACATAAAAACAGAGCATAAAAATGATATTAAGATGTTGAAATTGAGTTTACACTTAAAAAGGTATTGGGTATTTATGACCATTTTATAGTTTAAAACATAAAAGTGTTTAAGGTGTATTTTCTGCAGTTGTTGTTTTCAACAATGGTTTTAAAATCCCAGTTTCTTTCAAAGTAAATTTTGCATAATTTAGGCGTACAGTGACAACAGGCAAAACAAGTTAATTGACTCACAAATTGTTCTATTATTCTTGTCTCTAAAAGCCAACTGTGTTTTATACCAATTAGTCTTTGACATCTGTATGGAGGTAAATTTGTGTTTTTATGATTCAATCAAACAAAAAGCACCTTCAATCAAAAAATAATAATTTC